AAACAAGTCAAATCTCTTTGGCTTGGCTGCATGTCGGAAGTTTGATTGGGGCCACAGGTCTATCTTGGGATGCTGATGTGGAAATGTGAGATCAGAGAAATTCTCTTATTCTTCCGTATGCCTTCCGTAATTCTTACTACAGAATAGCCTACATATTTAGCCTACAATATTTATCCTACCAATGCCCTCCGTAGTTCTCATATGCCCTTAGTGGGTTTTTCCCCTCTGAATTATTATTATTATTATTATTATTATTATTAAAAACATAAATATATCACAAACATATGACCAACAAAGGACAGACAAGACATTACATTTAAATAAACCAACATTAAAAACTCTTCCCTTCCTTTATCATGAATATTTTTTCTTTACATATTTGACTTTTCGTCATCTTCTCCTACATTTGCTTTGTTACTATATTCCTAAATTCATAATATCTATTCCAGTTAGATTTAACTTGGTTCTGTTCGTATTTCCTCTAAACACACTTTTATCATAGACACTGAATCTCTTTTTCTTCTTTATCTAATGACACAGGTATTATTAACTTAATATATATTCACAAATAACCCCATTTCAGTTTTTACTATTGCTTTTACACAATTCCTTTATATATCCATATATCTGATAAACATTTAGTAACAGGTAACCGGTCTTTTTCAAATTCATTTCTTGTTTAGTCTTTCAGAGAACAGGTAAGTTTATCTAATTCCATTGCATCATACAATTTATGTTGCCATTCTCTCAATGTGGGTTCTTCTGTACTTTTCCATTTTTTAACTAACATCAACCTTGCTGCATATAACATATAAAAGATAATTTCCCCATGTTTCCTCTCTATTTGTTCCTCTACCATTCCCAACAAATGTGTGGTGGTCTAAAATTTAAGGTCTGTTTCTCTATGCTGCTGTCAGACCAACGTATTTTTGGGGTGGAAGGAGGCCCATTGATGGCCCAACCAGACTACACAACAGCAGCACTATGAATCCATTTTAATTCCCATGGCTGCATCCTATGCACAAATTGTACAAGTCCTATGGAATTGTGGGGTTTATCATTTGGTGGTCATTAGAGATCTCTCTGACAGAGAATTCTCCTTCTTAAACTGAAAGATAATTGAATGAGATTCTCAGTGCCTTTTTCTTGGTGTTTCAATATATGTCCTTGAGTGCATTCACACTACACCTTTATAGCAGTTCGATACAATATTTAGCTGCCATGGCTGCATCCTATAGAGACTATAGGCAGGTGGCTTCTATCATTTCATTACATACTTAGAATTCTCTGCCAAAGAGCTGCAATGATGTTATTCACAAAGCTGAAGTTGCGAATTCCAAAGACTTCCCCAAAACTACAGATCTCAGGATTGTGTAGAATGGAGCTGCAGCAGATAAAACTGGCAACCATGTGCAGTGTGCTGAATTCAGAGACATAGCCACGTGGGCCTGAAATATCAGTATGGAAAGGGATCTTCTCGCACCTGTGTCATTCCTGGGCAACACTTCATTCCATGCTTCTGAGGAAGTAGACCAAGTCTTTAAATGCTCATGCTACAACGTATTTTGCACAGTTAGTCTCAAAGGTGCCACAAGATCCCTTTTGAATGTGCAGTGTAGATATGCCCCCTTATGATCATGGGAACAAAAGCAATGATGTAAATACAATTCCAAGGATATCATTCATGCAGGCAACAGAATCCATTTTTTTTCTTAGCAGACAACTTAGATGGCAAGGTTTTGAAATGATTCCTCAGATCTCCTGCTGCCTGTTTATTAATCATTTTCCTCCCTTCTCTTTGTTGTCCCTTTTCAGGGAATGCTCGTAGAAGGCCCACCGGGCCCGGAAGGTCCAGCGGTAAGTAGTGTCTGTCTATTTATTCCTCCTTTCCTCCTATTTAGCATAAAATAATGCATTTTCCCCATTGCGGGAGGAGATAGGCAGAAGACAGCTGTTTCCCTAGGTTCAATTACTTCCATATGATGGCCCTGGATCTAGACGCCTTCCAAGGTCAGTTTCATCATGCTAAAGTAAACAGATCATTCTCATGCTTTTGCTCTCCGCAATGCATGTAAGTTTACACACACACACACACACACACACACACACACACACACTTCCTTTTTGACTTGCAGCTAATACATTCTTTCTTTCTTTTTTCCTCTCTATGGCAGGGTCTTCCAGGTCCTCCAGGAACAACTGGGCCAATGGGCCCAGTAGGAGATCCTGGAGAAAGGGTGAGTTTTCTTGTATTTCTGCCTACTTGGAGAATAGTAGAAGAATCCTAATGAGAAGCAACATTTCTTTTCTTTTCTTTTTAAAAGTCATTTATTTGGCAAATGATCTTGGAGATGCAACCTCACTTTGGTGCAAGGCTTCCCATCTGTCACCAGTGATTCCCAAACTTTGGTCCTTTAGGTGTTTTGGACTTCAGCTCCCAAAAGCCCCAGCCAACTTGGCCAGCAGCCAAGAATTCTGGGAGCTGAAGTCCAAAACATCTGGATGATCAAGACTTGGAAACCACTAGTCTACTTTGTACTGAATTTAGGACTTCTGGTTGCACCGGGGAAATAGGACATTGCTCTGTCATCTAAACATCTAAGCATGTTTTGTCCAGGTGGAGGAACACTCAGTACAGGTGGAGGGACATTTTACCTACAGTTTGGAAAGGTTCCTTTTTTTGGGGGGGGGGGGACCACAGCTTCCTGAATCTCTCACACTGCCTAGGGGATTCTGGGACATGGCTGTGACATCATGGGCATGTATAGAAAATTGTTGCTTGACTTGTTGTGTGAGTATGAAATCAATAGCTGTATGGAGGGAGCAAAGAATGGAGTGTTGACATGAATGCTGATTGAGTGTTTGGGGAGATTTATATGAAGCAACTGATGAACGACAGAGTTTGAGTTTGAGGGGAAGTTAGTTTAGCCTGGAGTTTGAATTAGACAAGAGTTGGAGATGAGATATAGGAGTCCGAGCTATGTTTGAATTTTGAAAGGATGTCATATGGAAGAAGGAGCAAGCTTGTTCTCCTTCATCCGTATGATGTCCTTCCAAGCTTGTTCTTTGCTGCTCCTGAAACAAGGGCACGGAGCAATGGGTTCAAATTACAGGAAAAGAGATTCCACCTAAATGTTAGGAAGAACTTTCTAATGGGAAGAACTGTTTGACAGTGGAATATGCTGCTGTCTTTGAGAATGGTGGAATCTCCTTCTTTGGAGGTTTTTAAGCAGAGTCTAGATGACCTTCTGTTGAGAATGCTTTGATTGGGGTTGGACCGGATGGGCTTTGTGGTCTCTTCCAACTCTATGACTCTATGAAATTTGAGGCATGCAACATTTTGCATTTCATGAGGACAGATGCTTTTTTAAAAAAATGGGAAAGTGTTGCAATTTCAAGGAAAAGAAACAACATTTTGTGCATGAGCCATAGAGCCTGCCATCCTTTTTAATGAATGCGGATGCCAGAAAAAGACTTTTGACCCACTTACGTTATTGCAAATAAAATACATCCGATTTATGTCAAAGCTGTTTCAAACACAGGGAATGTGCTAGGCTATTTCAAGCCGGGGTAAATTTACTGGATTTATTTCTCAGGAGTATAATATGTTTAACAGAGCAAGGGAAAATGTAGGATTCCAAGATCTAAATGTATTTTCTGAGCTTCATCCAATAAAAAGGGAAAGCTTCATTTGCAATCCTTCTTTATGCCAGCAGAAGGAGCTCCAGTGTTTAATCTAATTCTCTAAAAATGTTTCCTTTTATTGTTTTAATAATCCGTGGCATTCTTTGTGCTCAACTTGATTTTTTTTTTCATAAGCTGGCTGTATTCCTATTTGGACACCAAAAGCAAATCTGGATTCTTGTGTTATATTTCCTAAGCTTCTGGGACATGCCCTTAGATCTTTCCATGTTCAGAAACAATGGAGTGTGAAAAATAAAATAAAAAGTCCTTTATTGGAAGCAAAAAGAAAGTGGAGATAAAAAAAATCTTGCCATACGAGAGAACCAACTGTAGTGGAATAAAGCTTTCAGGAAACTCTCATTATTAGGGATATAGATCTTTGGTTTCTCCTTGGTCAATGAAATCAGAACTTTTGCATTTGTTTCCCATTTGTTTTCCATTTCAGGACTTTTGTGAAAATTTCACTCATGCAAAACAGCATTTTGTGGGAAATGCACTGTTTTGTGGGGGGAAAAATATCGTTGTATTTTGTGCAAACACAACAGAATTTGCAGGAAAAAACCCTATCTTTCACAAATGGAATGTTGAGGGTTTTAAAACATGTCTTTAGGACATTTGTGAGACCAATGCATGAAATAGAAAACCATTTGTCATTGCACAAAACAACTGCATTGCATAAAAGGTTTTCTGTGCACAGAACAATTGTTTTGTCACAAAACCACTTTGTGAAATATTCATGATGAAGTTCTGTAATAAAGAGAGAGAACAAAAGAAGCGCACACAGATAATATTTGTGAATGTCAGCTTCAGTTGACATTCAGTACTTTGATTTCCACTCAGTCATGGAAACCCACTGGG